CTGTTAGGCAGAGGCCGATACGCAATTAGTTTTTGTTAGTGCAGGCGAAATGGGACCAGGCCCTACGGCTCCGGCTGCGCTCCTGGGGAGAGACTTCCAGTCTAAAGTGCTCGGAGGGGGCACGCGAACACTGCCTCCTGCCCACAACCTAAACAGATAGGTGAGCAACTTTCAGCTTGGATACTTTAGAATTCCTCAACAAATGGAAAAAGAAACGTGTGATAATATGGCTCGTTCGGGCGACTACGCATCCTCCTACTTGATGCACAGAATATTGTTTAAACGACTACCGCGTGTTTAAGCTTGTAATCAATCTACAGCCGAATACATCAGTGTTTCAGTAGAATTTTGATTTCATTTGCTGTCTCGTTGCAGTTTATCCCTCATTCGAGTTATCTGTTAGCAGAAAAAACTCTGACTGTAGCACGGTGGATATTTAAAGCAATTACCGCAATTTTGCTTGATCTGTTTTATAATAGCCTCCAAAAGGATAATGTCACCTCTGTGAAGTAGGCTAGCTGCCCACTTTCCCTTTCCTACGACATTGCATTAATTATTGAAATTCCAAAGTTGTTGTTCTGACCTGTTACAAAATACCCCAGTGACTGGTGCGTACACCACTTCAAAGATTTAATAGGCACGTGGCCAATAACTGCGCACCAACATCAACTGCTTCATTCATGCCATGTCAAATACGGCTGATCATTTAGCAAGCCTGGTTTGAAGCTGCACTTAAGACAGGTAAACGATGTGTGCCGTCCAAAATGAATGCTGCACTTGATAATTTTTTTGAGACCTTTACTAGGTTCTGTTCAGCACTTCGGCTTGTTCGAAGCTAAATCACCTGCAATAAGACTGAAGACATTATCCTTGTAATAGAGTTAGCATTTTTTGAAAATAACTGCTTAAAGTGGCAAGTACCTATCAACCTAGCCTGCCGCAAATGTGGTTATCAATGAATCTAGACTCGTTTTTTACAAACGGCACACTAGATTCAGGTGTCTTGTGATATTTCACCGTTTGTAATTTAGAAAAAAAAACTCCATGGATAGTATTGGGAGCCCTCAGCAATCAATGAGGACAAAAATAGCACGGTGAACGGGAGGGCAACCCCGGCAGAATACAAGTCCGTACCCCAGTATCATGTCATGCACGCGTCCTCCGGGGAGCCCCATAGTTAACCTGGCGCTGATACCTTTCAAGCATCCGCTTCGTGCCCTGGACATACCGCACGAAAATACTTATTTAGGTGGGAATTCAAACTTCATGCACATACTCTGCATAACCGGCCGCTCACTCCACCATCTCAGTACCCCCTTCAGAAGTAGCGTGCATATGTATTCCGAACTCGACAACAACTCGACATGAACTGGTTGAGAGATAAAATAGTTTTGGGTAATAGCCTGGGAGGCAAACACCCAATAGTAAACGCAATTACGACAGCATTTGATGTGAAAACGTGATATATTGGTAAATTATTACAATGGTTACTACACAACATGAAGGTTCATTCGATAAATTAGGTACAAATTCGTATCCATAGCCCACTCGATACGAATTAGCATGTGTCTTTAACCTTGACAACAAATCGTGACCACTGCCTAGGACTGTCAGAGTATTTCAAAGTTGGTACAGCACCACAATTGAAACCTTTTAAGTTGGGACTTACGGAAGATAAGCCACTCATAATTTTTTTTAAAGAACAGTATGCTGTTCCTATTTACCTGAAAGTTCCTTTTGACCATATGAAGTGTAGGGTTCAGGAAGAGCCAATAAATAGACTAAGCACCTACGAAAAGTCACGTCAGTGGTTTACACGAGTTGTACATTGTGAACGGGGCTTCTATTGTGCCCCTGGAAGTTGGTGCCCCTGATGATTAGGGTTTGGCGTATGTTGTGGTGCCTTCTGAAGCTGGGTACCTATTTGAAATAAAAGTTATGATCCTCAAAATAAAGGTATTGGTGCTCCATCGCCGAGTAGACCGATCCAGGATTTTGTGAAACGACAGAACACGGGTATCACAGCGCTCCGGGAACTTGTTGCCTGTCAAAAAAACACAAATTAAGGATATTTTTGGTGTTTCTACAATTTGGTTCCTTCAAAAAATAAAGGCTACGTGAATCAGAAATGAAAGGTTTGCATCCCTTCACTATGAGGTTTTGATGCCCCGAATCGTCATGTGTTTTCGTGTCCCAAATCATCATGAGGTTTTGGTGCCCCTTCGGGGCACCAAAATCTCATAGCACCCAAGGGGACATAGCCCTATGCCCCTGCAAGGGGAAATTACCCTATGGATGCTAGATTAGCCCTGGATCCCAACAACAGCTGAGGTTTTGTGCCGGCGCCAATACGGCATCATTAGATGCAGACAAAACCGCAACTCCAGATCGCAGTGGGGAGGGGGTGATAATCCCGTGGCTCGCAGAACAAACGCCCATGGCGGCCGGATCTGTGGTCCCGGGGTACATCTGTAACCCCTCCAGATGCAGACAAGACTGGGTACCTACTCCAGATCCCAGTGGGGAGGGGGTGATAGTCTCGTAGCTCGCAGCACAAACGCCCATGGCGGCCGGATCTATGGTCCCGGGGTACATCTGCAACCCCTCCAGATGCAGACAAGACCTTAACTCCAGATCCCAGTGCGGAGGGGGTGATAGTCTCGTAGCTCGCAGCACAAACGCCCATGGCGGCCGGATCTATGGTCCCGGGGTACATCTGTAACCCCTGCATTCGCTGGTGCCTGGTACACGGGCGCACGGGCCATCCCAGAGCGCTGCCTGCCACGTACCATGGGGTGTCGCAGGTGTGAGTGAGCGTCATGTAGCGCACACCCAGCTCGTACATGGCGCGTAGCGACGCCAACGTTGACTGAATGCTGTGACCTCCCTCCAGGCCGATCAGGCTCACAATCTTCCCCTCCTTGTGGCCCTGCAGGATGTCTGAAATATATTCTCATGTCAACGAGCCGCTTGGATTCCTTCTTGGCTCAGTGCGTGTTTTGTAAGAAACGTCTTTGGCAGAAGTGCTTCCGTACAGAATGTACATGCCACAGGCCAAGGGAGTTCGTTCGAGGAAAATACGTATAAACGTTCCATGCCGTAATGTGAATATAGAGACACCCTATCATTTATCTCATCACTGATCACAAGGAAATACATTTTTCATCCGTTAGTTAGGCTGCGACCTAGGGTGCTAAGGTGCTACGACCAGGTCAGACAACTTAAGCCTAGCATGCAGCGAGTTATGCGAGATGAATTTTCAGCTGCTGTCATAAATAATTACGCGCAGCCGCGGCCGTGCAAATGAAAGGTACCCGGCACACAACTTTCCCGTGACTCGGCCCAGTCGAACACTTGATCTTTCCCACGTTTCAACTCCTCGTCTCCCTCCACTCCCCCCCCCCCCCCCCGCTTCACCATGCCCGGCAGCCGTCGGGCCTTGTCCGCACGTGGGCTCAAACTTCCACCGCCCCGAGATAGGGCGCAATTACAAGTTAGCGGGCCGCCTCGCGGCCGCGCCGCGCGCCGCGCCGCCGCTATCTCTCGGCCTCAGACGGGCCCAAATCCGGGCGCGCCGATTACGGCCCATGAGCGCCAGCCTCGCCGCGTGGCCGCTAATTGGCCCATCCGGCGCGGCCCGCGCCCGGCACGACCGCATAAAGCCCCAGAAGCTATTAGCGACGCTCGCGCGCGTGAGAGAGACGGCCGTTGCTCGGGCGCGCCCGGACGGCGGCAGCGCGACCGCTGTGTCCCGGGCATAATTCCCCCACTAATTGGGCCGCCGTGGTTTACGACTACGGACAGGCGACACGCCCTGAGGTCGTGGGCAGAAAGTGTACGAATATACGGTCGGGATAACCGACCGCCAGACAGCTTCATTTGCAAACGTGCAGACGCATATGCGATAATTAGTTATCGTCACGCACGATAGCCACCAACTAAATTTGAGATTCTATCTACGTTTGCTAATTGCTGCTGACATTTAGCAAACACCAATTGGGCTGTTGGCCGTTAGGATAGACGCGCTAAACATGTTAATTATGACGTTGCACGTCCACTATACGGCAACGGGTTCAAGTTTTCGACAGACAGAAAGGGTGGTCGAGTGTTCCATTCTCTGGATCCTCTAAATAAAAATTGTTCTCTGGAGACAGCTGGAGGCAATGCAAAAATCTCTTCAGATCTTACAGATTCCGATTTTAGAGGCGAATGCAGGTTGCAGATGCATCAACATGCATGCATATTCAGCGATCTTTCTGAGAACTCGCGCTGCAGGACGGAACATTCTTTGGCATGCGCTACAATGCCGACGTGTGGGTGATGTGTAAAATGCAGATCGTATTGATAATTGGCCAAAAAATACAACGTGTTCATAACTAGTTGATAAATACACAATAACTTGTTGCTAAATGCAGTCGTGTTCATATCTGGCTGACAAATACGTCATAACTGGCCTCTGAATTCCACCCTGGGTGTTTCTTCGTTTCCATCTGCTACACCCACCCGCGAGCTGGACGAATTGTGCAAGTACAATACGTCTGTTTGACCGCACTGTTTGACCGTGAAACAGACCTACGACCGTACGTCTGTACGGTCGTAGGTTTGTTTCCGGGCGAAACTAATGAGCAAAAGATCCGAGCGCAATCAAGCGAACGGAGCTATCCTGAGCAACATCAGGAACAGTAAGAAGGCCCGATCGGCGTGCTGGCCTCTACCGACTGTTGGGTTGCTGTCCTGGAAGGGCGGTTGTCGCCTCAGAAAGCAATTTGCGGCCTGCTGGCGATACCGAAGTGGGAGGGTGAGCAAATAAGGCTGTTTATTCCACCTCGGTGGTGGCACCACATCCAGGTGAGCCGACGCAACTATGGACGTAGGTCTAGACGGAGTTCAAACGACTCCGAGTCGGGAAAAAGGTTGAGTGATGGTCTGCGACTCATAAACAGCAGTGTTTTCTTGTCCGATGCGCATCAGATGACCGCCAGCAGCGTAAACACGTCCAACGTGCATGAGATGACCGCCAGCAGCGTAAACACGTCCGACGTGCATCAGATGACCGCCAGCAGCACGCACTCGTCAGACGTGCATCAGATGACCGCCAGCAGCGTAAACTTGTTTGACGTACATCAGATGACCGCCAGCACCGTAAACACGTCCGACGTGCATCAGATGACCGCCAGCAGCGTAAACTCGTCCGACGTGCATGAGATGACCGCCAGCAGCGCGCGCTCGTGCGCACTACACCAGCTCACCGTCGGCCGTGAGCGCCAGGCTGAGGTAGTCCGAGTATTGCCGCACCACTCTTTTGATGAGGTCCACCTGTTCCAGCGTCATCTGCACGGCGTTCTTGTACTGCGACTCGCACGGCACATACGCCGCCCAGAACTGAAACACAGCGCGCGGACATGAGCAGAATAGTCCTCCGCAGCGGGCGCATGCCCCACAATGGGGCTGGGTGGGGCAAGGCCAGTCGTTTTGAAGCTAACCGTTTCCGTGCATCACTTAGGATCTAATGGTAGAACGCACAGATGAATGTGCCCCCCTTCCCTCCCCCCCCCCCCCTCCCCCGGAACCCGTGTTCTTAAACTGATGCTCCAGTCAGCCCTCATAGACGGCGGTCAGCACGGCACAAAAAGCAGCACTCGGACACAAACAAACAAACAAACACACACACACACACACACACACACACACACACACACACACACACACACACACACACACACACACACACACACACACACACACACACACACACACACACACACACACACACACACACCACACACACACACACAAAAAACACTGCCGATGCCGCGGCGTACTGTACCACTCGCGACCAGGAGGAAAGCAAGAACAGTGGCTATCCGTTAATGGCGGACCGTGTTTGCATGCCGTTCAATCTTAGCGCCGCCTTTGTCTCCAAAGCGACCGAAACGGCGCGTCGCCGAGCCATTGTCCAGCTGAATGCATTCAGGTGCTCTTGCGTGGGGCGGAAACAAAGCGCACCATCCGGGGCTGATCAACCATGGGGCCGCCAATGCGAGCCGCACAAACAGGGCAGTCCGGGGCAACGAACCATGGAGAAATCCCGGCGCAGTGCTGAATATCTAGCGTGCCGAACGGGTGAGCGCAATAGACGGGCCGTTCCACCACAGCGTCTGGATGTGCACGTGTGTGGGCAGGAGTGTGCGGCGTCAAACGTTGAACCGTAAGACATAGGAAACCTGCGTGCTTTGGACGTCGGCATATGCATTCGGGTTTTTCTCTTCGGGAGCATTTTACTGAACCCTGCAAGTGATTGACACCGCGTGACACCGTTGTTAGCCCCGGAACTCGTGCTATCATTAAGTAAGGCTGAGTCGCGCCGCCACGACACTAATGACAGGCAAGAGAACGGCAGCGTGCATTGTTCTAGCTGTTAACTGCGTGAGCCCAGTGCATGTTAGGCGGTGTGCCTGCAGTGCCGCAGAAAGGATGTTGGCATTGCTATATCATGTTAGCTTTCCGGGTACATATACACGGCTCAGTAAGAGCGACATCGTTAACGTGAAACTCGTGCGTCAGCTATAATGCGAATGGTGTTTCTTGCATGTAGCCACGGCTGTGCCACCAATTCGTCTATGGTATAGGTTACATAGGCACAGCACAGGTCCGCGCGAGAACGTCATATCTTCCGACGACGAAGCAGCCAATGCTTTAGCAAGCTCCTCCGTATCAAGGCCAGACGGCATTCTCCACGTTTCAGAAGTCAGCGTGATTTTGCTCGGAGCAGCCACAGAGCTAAACGCTTGTGTGAGGCACGCACGTACGCACGCACGCACGCACGCACGCACGCACGCTCACGAACACTGACCTGAGCGCCGACGTGGCCTTCCCGTAACCTCGGGATATCGGTGTGCGACCACTGGCTGGAGGCCCAAGGCTTGACCCGCCGGAGGTCGGCCGTAAAGTTGAATATCCGCAGGTTGTTGTGCACAAACTTCCTGATGTTCCACGGCAGGTCGTTGTGCCTGAAACCACAGGGTGCCTTGAGTCACAGCGTGCCTCGGTGTTTGGGTCATTATTGAGGGCGTCGGTGGAGTGAGTGCGGTGCAGAATGGCCGTGGCTAATGCGCGGGAAGAGAAAAGCTGGACGACAGAACCGGTCCAGGCGGGTTGGATTGCTGCCATTTAACATTTGAACTGGAATTTAAGAGCCCCTAACGCCTTTTGGAAGTGCTTCTTAGGGATGCCTCGACATCAGTCTGCACTAACCAAGGTCCGGGATGCTCTTTGGAAGGGCGAAACCAAGACTCCCACCTATAAATGCGATGGCAGTTGGGTTCGCGGGGAGCGTCGGTCAGATGAACTTGGCTTGAATACGCAGTGTGCATTACTGCACAAACTGCGTTAGACTAGAGCACGTGGCTTGCACTTGAATGGTATAAGATGAAATCGAAATCAGTGCAAAACAACCATACCTCTTTTACAAAGCCCATGATCTCGCATGCCCCATACTTCAGGCCGCATTAAAAACGTGCGATATGACCCATCCTTATTATAAATCATGGGAACAGCCAGGTGTTTTTTTTTTTTTTTAAAGGAGAGACGGAACCCAGCCATCACTCAGCATAAGAGAACCTAGGGGGAGGGAGCGGGAGCCCTCTCTGGTTGCGCCTGAGTTGCGTACTGTCAGCTGTCAACTGAGTTGCGAGCCAAATAAATGTTTCACAGCGCACCACGCAGGTTTGCGTCATCGCTAATGTGGTAATAGTCCGCACCTAGTCGGCCGGTAATCCTTGTGCGCCCAGCTTGAAAATATCCCAAACTCCAACACCTTAACATGCTACATAAAATAAAAATATGGTCGGAAGCCTCGCCACGTGGAAATAAAACCGTATACCATTTTCAAATTTACATCGATGCTTGAGTCCATAGAGGTCACGATCGTTCAAAAATTGTATGGCATGATCCTCGTGCAGAGAAGTCGGGAAAAGGAGTTCGTTTCATTCCTTTGTGGGTAGCAACACTGAAAACCGAATTTCATGGCAGTTCCATAGAAAAACGCAGCTCCGTTCGGAGTTACAGTATGCAAGCAAAAGGAGTAAATAAAGTCAGTTCGTTAACACCTGAGTGTATTTTTGTTTTGTTAGAGGGGCTTTGGCTCGTTTGGTAAAAGAAGTAAATCAACTGAATCTAAAACTGGGTAATATCGCATTCTGAGTCAGAATCAATGCCATTCAAAACCAGATAGCTCTTTGATTCGGATAATATTACATTCTAGGTCAGGGACAAGGCGATTCGAATCCGAACGGTTTTGATTCGCCACTACATAATGACGAGTACCAGTTACCTGTTATATGCAGATGCCGAAAACATCATTGTTTACAATGTCCCGGCCCTATAAGGTCACCGGTCAGGTTTATCTTAGTTCACAGGATGCCACTTTGATACGCCTGGCCATACCACATCTGAGGCTTTAAAGAGAACATTTACATATCGAGGGAAACGTTTTTCTTAACAGGCCAGTTGACCCCTGACCTCAGGTCACAGTGCTTCAGGACACTGTAACACACGCCCGCACATGATACCATGGGTCATATTCGCACCTCGGTAGGTGCTTTTTCACCCGAAGCAAACGGATCTTTAAAATTGTATTCAAAATAGGTACAAGGCGATCAAGCCTAGTCAGATTGTGTGAAGTAAGGCCACGTCAATATTCCAGACGGTGTGTCACGTGACGCTGGAAATGTGGGAAAAGCATGCATAAAAACATCTTGATGTAAGGCCGCGTGGCAAAGCAATGTAGGGGCGATATTTAGCAGAGGTGTGACTAAGGGGAGAATTTTTGCGTCGTGCCTCCCCCTTCCTCCTCCCTAGAGGTGGCGAGGGCCCTCTTGAGGTCGCCGAAGACGCTAGTACTCTTGGACGGTTTAAAACGCCCGTACTACTTCTAAAAAGACCCCGAGGAGGGGAATTAAACTGGGATCAAAAACTTGAAAAGGCGCTCTGAATCCAACAACACGACCCGTACACAGACGGAAAGGGGACCCTTGGATGAAAGGACCACCCATAATCCGTGTCGACCAAGGGAGGAATCTTGACTACGTCATTACCATCCAGAACCATGTTTTAAACGAGACTAAATATGTGACCTGGCATGAGCTCATTAACGCCAGACTGGTCCTCAGAGCAGCTCCGACACATCCCGCTATTCTCTTCCGGCCGAGCTCTTACAGAATGCGAAGAACAATGCAAAACAAGACGCAGAAACAACACACAACTGGGCAGAGCCTCACCTTATGCTCGTAACAGGCATCGGGGCATTGTGATTACTGCAAGCCGTCAAAGTGTCATACGGTGTGCGCTTATTGTTGGCCTCTTGAAATTGCATGGCATGGTAATGTTTTTACGTTGTGAAACTGAGCCCAATTACACATATCATAAGCCATTAGCCTTAGGTAGACAACGCTACACACATCACACACCATCGAAACAGAATATCGGAAAAAGGACAGAAAGTCTGGCCGTCTACATCCGTCCACTTTGTGTAATCGACGAAAAACAGAGCAGACACTTCAAGGAGGCCCCAGGATTGGCAAGGGATAAGGTGCTGATTCCTGATATCCAGCGAACCATCAGAGCGAAGCAAAACCGGGCGGCTTTCCTTAGCGACGCTATCACCTCCTGCCCTGAATTCCAATACCGACTGGATCCAGTTTCACTGAGCAGCTAAAACGAAAGGCAGGCGCACGGCCACTCTGCACTGAGCTTTAAATAATGCATCCAGAGTTAGTCGCCGGGCGCTAAAGCAAAACGTGCCCGGCATGGGCGGTTCGGACTCGCAGAGAGATCCTCCAGGCGCTAGGCGTCGCGCGCTGTCAACAGGTCCCGAATGCCTGGCGTGTCGTCAAAAGATCCGGTAAACCTCTCAGGGAGAGCCGGCATCAGGCTACTTCCGACGCGGCATCAGGCCACTCGCATTGCAAGTTCCGAACGCCATTTGCGCTATGGCCCGTCAGGAGGCTCGATGCGGGCCGCTAGGTTTCTGGGAGCCGACTGCCGGCGCTGGACGCCTGGGGAATGCCAAGTGATGATGATTTCGGCTTTAGAGCCCGGGCCGGACGTACGCAAGCACCTATGAGAGTGAGAAAGGGCTTCAAATTTAAATGGGTGCGCTTTGGGCAAATGTGACACCCGAGACGACGGACAACGCCGATCGACCTCCATTGTGTTAATCGGTGTTCACTGTTGCCATGGGGTACCACAATCGTCCGAGGAAAATTCATTTCCAGGTAAATCTCCCTCTTACTCACATACCATTGTACCTTTAACATTAGCATATATACCTGGGCTTACATACGCTTCTTCTCCAGGCGGTCAATAGCATCTCTCTTCTGACCTGAGTATAGCGTTGACAGTGTCTAACTACGTCAGATGATGCGGCCAAGGCCGCGCTACATCCATATTGCACTCGGGCAGCACTGCATTTGAGCTGGGACAACGCCGTGCTACGGCTAGGCAACGCCGCTACCATGTCACCAATGCCGTGAGAGCTAGCGTAACACCAGCCCGATACAGCTAGTGACATAGCACTCCCCTGGGGTTGGAACACCTGAAGCATCTGTTCGGTAATGTACAGGCAGGCGTCGCACATCCGTCTATGAGCGGCATTTCTTCTGCGATATTTATTTTCCGGGGGATGCTGAGCCACCGTTGCTGACATGAGCTCCCCCAGTACTCCCTTAAGCTCCTTCAATGCATATGAGCAAGGAGGGAATATTTCAATAGAAATATTGCAGGACAATTACATCACGTAGGTGGGGTACTAGGTACTTGGTACCCTAACATCCGACTACCATTATCAAATTATAGTTGTTCCAAATGGTATCCTGTGGGCAGGCAATGTGTTTGTCATTCTAGCCCAGATAAAAGTTTACGTATGCCTGTTCCAACAGTCGCAAATGCATTTGTCGCACAATCTTGGCTGTGGTGGTTATACAAGATCATCGACAGCGGTAGTCATCAGTGATCCCTTAATTAGACTCAATTAGATGTTTTTCTGTGAGTTACATCCGAATCCAAGAGTTGAAGAAAAGGCCAGCTTACATCAAATCGAATAAAAAAACAGTTTCTCCCCCAATATTTCTTCTGAATCTACGTTTCAATGAAAGCAACAGTATCGGGGACGCAAACTTATGTGACCGAGACCAAGGGATAAATCAGGTTCTGGGAAAGGCTAGGCCAAACTTCTCGACTGAGCCTCCAAATCGATTTAAGGAAATGACACCCTTGCTGTGCAGGAACTGTTTGGCTATGCACAGACAAGCGTTACCCACCCGTATATGAGCGGCACCTCCTGCAGGATCTGTTCGGTTGTGTGCAGGCAGGCGTTACCCACCCGTCTATGAGCGGCACCTCCTGCAGGATCTGTTTGGCTGTGTACAGCCAAGCGTTACCCATCCGTCTATGAGCGGTACTTCCTGCAGGATCTGTTTGGCTGCGTGCGGGCAGGCGTTACCCACCCGTCTATGAGCGTCACCTCCTGCCGAATCTGTTTGGCTGCGCGTATGCAGGCGTTACCCACCCGTCTATGAGTGGCACCTCCTGCAGGATCTGCTTGGCTGTGCGCAAGCGCTGCTGGAGGCCAGCCCGCGGCTCCAGTTGCAGCACCAGTGGTACGCTGACGCCGACCCCCGCCGCCAGCGCCACCACCAGCACCGCGCAGCACAGCCAGCACACGTAGCCGCAGGCTAGCCGGCGACCTGCGGCAAGGTCGCACACCGGCATCACGACCCGGCGGTACGGCGAGGTACACGGGTAGGTACAGGCGCAAGGACATTGTCACGACGACGTTACAGGTGGAAGTTCAGTGGAGTGTACAAGGAGGTTCTGCGTCGGTGAGGCGGTCGCTGCGGTCTCACGGGTGGTACGTCAGGGAGCTATGCGGCGAGCTCACGGGTGGTACGTCAGGGAACTATGCGCCGAGCTCACGGGTGGTACGTCAGGGAGCTATGCGGCGGTCTCACGGGTGGTACGTCAGGGAGTTATGTGGCGAGCCCAGGGGCGGAGGGGCGGTCAGTGCTGTGGATTCTGGAGGACCTACAGGAGCGGGGATCGCTGTTTGGCCAGTCACGTTCATGCATAGCTCTCTTCGAACTTATTGACAAACGGAGATACTGAAATGCGAGGGAAATTGGTTACTCGAGCACGATTCGTACTACTATTTCGCATACAAATACCCACGGGCGGGGACTGAAGATTGAGTATAAATCGGATGGAAGGGTGGTCACGGAACAAGGGAGCCGTGCCTCCTCTGAAGGGTTAAATGTGCCAGCAGGTGTCATAGGCGTCGGGCAGGATGCGCCGCGTCAAACAACGCGGGTCTGACCACCCAGGCCAGTGGCTGCGACCTGCGAAAACACTAAACATTGAGGACGCTGGCATTGCAGGCGAATAACGGACGCTATTCCAGGAGACGGCTCTGCTGTTGATGGTGTAGCTACTGGCGATGGCGTAGCAGACTTTCGTGACGGGACGCCACACATCTGGAGAGGCCGTTTTCCCTGAAGTGGGCACAAGGCTGAATCTTTTCCCGCCGGACGCACGAGTGTCAGCTCTGCAAGTGTCCAGATAATATTTCATTCATGTGCCGACAGACTGCTAAGTTCGAAGATTGTCGGCCACCACGAGTTAGCAGCCTCTTGCCTATAATGAAATATGATTAAAGCGTCTCATGACGACGGTCGCGGCACAAGAACGGCAGAGAAATGAGTGCAAATGGTGGCAGATTTGCCAAACAGGTCGTAGCTCGACTGGATGGACGGCTCGTTTTGGCGTCGACACAGTGCGGATTTTCTTCATATCGCCCATAAAGAACCCACGAAATTGACGTCTCCGGAAATGAGACCGGCAAAATCCTTAACAGAAACGCTGGCGCACCATCCAGCCACCAGAAGGAACAGTAGCATGAACATGCGCGGACTCTACACATTGGTGACTTCATAATTTTGATTCATAGCATGAGCTGTGGGACTCAATTCACGGCTTCCATGAGCCGGTACTGGCATTTTTCAGACCAAGCCGATGCACAGAACAAGGGATCAAAATAAAAAGTTATGCACAAAATACGTTAAAAAACATCACCTTAGTTAACACGACTAAAATCACACGGTTTGCCGGCAACGCTTCCCGTAACTGTTAAAATGCTCACCATCAGTAACCTGCCACATCACTTCCAGGATTCCGTCACTCACAATGCATGCCAATCTGGAACATTCTTCAGTGAAACGCTCTGAGTCCCACTGATGCAAAACCTGTTGCAACGCCACCACGTGGATCATAATCTGATTGCTACATTGTTGAATGCAAGACATGCAGAGCATACAATACAGTCATATGAAGTTCGCCATCAAATCCCGAAGTTCAGATCTAGGCATATCCAGCGGCACATGCGTGGCGGACGAATCCCCCATGCCTTAAGGCTTAAAATGACCGCATCTGTTGGCGTACGGGCCCGAGCAAATTTGGACAGCATAAGCTTTACCAAAACGACAGCAGAACAGATTGAACCCCCTCCCCCCGCGCAGTAAAACCGGCTCCAGACGCTAACATGTGTGGCTACACTCATGTCCGCTCACCAGCACCGATGACGTCAGAGTCGGCGCCTCCAGTCAGCGCCCCCAGTCGGCTCACCTCTCGTTGTCTGCTTCTTCTGCTCCTCAAGACGGATATGTTCGGCCGTGGTCGCGTCCTCGGCCAGCTGGTCCACGAAATGCTCGCTGCTGACGTCACTGATGACGTCAGACGAGCCGGCGTGGCGGATCACGTGGTTCAGCGTGCCGTAGGCGCGCTCACACTCGGGCGGGAGCACGTGGAAGTTGTGGTCGGCGGGGAACACGTGGTCCGAGACGAGATCGCACGGCCGCACAGGCCCGGGGCCGAGGTCAGTAAACTCGATGGGAGGCGGCGGCGTCTTCTGCTGCTGGCGTCGCAACGACTGGAACGGCGAACGTCGGGTCGTCAGGTCATTTGCGGACGGCTGTAACGCCTGAGGCGATCGAGTCGGCATCGCTTGCGTCTCATGATGACGGCGACGAGTGAAGTGAAGTTTGCTGCGGCGGAATGCGAATAAGTGACTTTTCACCTGAGCGATTGACAAATATCTCGAGGTGTTGACAGAAAGTGTCACAGCAAAAGGAAATGTATAGTTAGAGGTGCCGGCAGCTGCCCAAATGCAGTTAAAAGCTGGTAAAAAACTATGAAAATGAAATGCTTCCGCCCTTAAAGCCTTCCACGTTCAGTTAAGTTATGGTGATTTGGAAGTGCGCGTCTTCATGGTGATAAGCAAATGCACCGATCAGCACAAATATATATTTTCAGTTGACTAATTCAGTTTACGGATGACTAATCGGTGCTGACTTTGGACAGTGTCCTGCATTAACAGTGGAGTCGTACACAAACCTCGTTGTTTCACTCGTACTTAATTTTTACCACGGCCAAGGTTGGCGGCTCAGATTTTCCTTCCTCTGTTTTCCTCTCAGTTCTCAGTCATCGGTATTTTTGTTGGTATTTGTGTTATGAAATATGTAAGCGATATGAAAAGCATCGGTACCGAAGATGATGTTCCATCGTCGCAAGTAAACACAGAGGAATCACAAGCCATAGAACACTCAGCAACCATCGGCAAGGTAAGGCAATGGGCAATGGAAAAGTTAGGGAACCGCGACCGCCCCACGGCGGTGGTGCGAAGTAAAAGGCCAAACTGAGTTAAGGAAATTAAACCTGAGTAGGAGTAAGTACTGGGTCCGGTTTATCAGCTTATCTCGGTGCACCGGGATGAACATGAAACGAAATGAGCGTTGCATTTTGTTTGCAACCAGCGATACATAAACAAGACTCGTAGATGCGCTTGTTGCACTTATAGACGATTGCATCGTTTATGACATTAATGATCCAACACAGCGTGTCCATCAATGCACTCGCACTTAAACAATCCTACTCCTGCATCAACGCCCTTTACACACCGTAAGCTGTACATGAACTATAATTAATGATTTGTATGTCGACCACCTACAGGGAATGTTTCACATCTGAAGATATTGAAGCAAGCATCAGATCTTATGAAACAAGTTTACTTGTAACTATTTACATACCTGCCAGAAGAAAAGACTGCTCTAAGCGTAAGTTCTCTGTTAAATAAACATGCTCCTCGATAATCGCTGTTTGATTACGTCACGAAACCTCGCACAACATTGATTGAGAGCCAATTGACGGTCTTTATATCTGTACATCGTTCTCACGAACGCCAGATATGAACGACTCGACCACTACAATTTCTTAGCCCTGGTCGCCAAATGGCTTATGGAACGGCAGGTTTTGAATGACGTATTATGAGGACATGAATGCCGAGATTATCTCGAAATATTTTCCCCGAAATACCCTCCCCATTTTCGCGGGCGTGTGGCTTAGAACCTACGGGAGTTTAAGTCCTAAAAAGGGCAGGACTGTGAACTTCACCGGAAGGTCATGAAGACGGCTAATTCAGTTCAAAGCCCCATACTGATGTGGAACACTGCCTTTAACGCTGCGTGAAAGTGCTGGACATGTCCGGCTCGACGAAGCTTATGCAATGACTCATGCATGTACACCAGCGTAAGCATGCAACCATGTTGATAAACGCCCCCTCCCCCCATGTATATATATATATATATATATATATATATATATATATATATATATATATATATATATATGCCCGTCATTAAACGAAGAAAAAAAGTCGCATGAGTCGTTAGTTAGTCCTCACTGAGTCCTCAGTCGGCAGAACCTGGTGGGCGGACACGCATCCAGTCAACCACCCCGTACGGGCCGTGTGATAATTTGACCCCTTTGCCCACAGCCCAATAGCGCTGGGGAATCTAACGTGCCAACAATGTCATGGCACCGTTCGCGACATGTCACGAGCGTCCAGCGGTTCAGAGGTCGCGGTGCAGCTGGTTCAAGCCGAGACACGTCACCGTTCACTTGCGAAGGACAGCGCAAGGTTATCTGAAGTTGTGTTATGACCTTCATTAACGTTGACGGTGGATGGCCGTGTACTTATAGTCAGTATTAAAGATATCTTAGTGTTTAAAAACAAAACTTTGTGCGATGTTCAGGACTCGATCCGACATCGCCACTTTGACACCACCGTGCATGACGCATCGCCAAAGATGCATTTCATGATGTATACTCCATGGAGATGAACAAATTCATGCTGACCGCCGTCTTGGTCCATAATGCAAGGTTTGTGCGGTTTAGTCTGACCCCAAGGTCAAGATGTGACGTGATGTAATTCTGGCATTGAATTGTCGCTACAATGGTCACGAGCATCAGAAATGTGCAATGTATAACCACCTCACACGCCCACAACCACGAAAAAACATTCAAGTTCTTACAGAGCTAAAACTACGTCACGCAACGAAGTCACAATTTTCGCCACACGTTTGCTTGGCGCAGACCTTTGGAAATCAGGTGATAGGTAAGTAAGGTAAAAGGTAAGAGGCAAGTGGCATAACGTGGTGCGGACTGCCAGTCTATTCCAAGTTTGTGAATTACGCTTTGAGAGGCTGAAACTAAGCCAGCAAAAATCAGATGGTGCGCAGCGTGGCTTAGAAAGCAATTACGAAAAACAGATGTGGTTCATCTCTCGTCCTGCTGAGGTTCATTAACCAGGAATTAAAGTACAAGTTACACATTGTCGCCTATCACACAACCATTCGGGGTCAAATAACCATAGAATTATGGAGTGGGTAACAGTAAGTAAAACATGGACACCAGTCTTTTCCATGTTGCATTGTCTGCAATATCGACGAGAACAAAGAGAACCGCGCTCTTTTGATTTGGTTATGTTTTCGAGAGCGCGATAGTGTGTGACAATTTGATGGTCATGCTTTTCTGTTCCATTGTCATGCTGTCAACAATTTTCTGATCTTAAGTAGTGTAAACAGCATTACAATAGCTGGCGACTGACAAGGGAACGCAATATCGGTTGAGAAAAGAAGGTTGAGACAGAATAACTGGCCTATTCAGAGACACGGATATACCAAATATTGCTCTTAACTAATTTCATGTCTCACATTTATGCACGTTAATTGCCATAAGACAGAAAGTAATATTTTCCAGAATTTTTTAGAAAAAAACTTTGAAACGTTCGCACGTGACGTGATGCCTGTGATCTGACAAAGGTAAGCAGGCCGATTGAAAGTAACACTGCGGTATTGAAATCTTACCTGTATACATGCATCGGTACACTTACGTATTTGTTACTTAAAGTGCAGAAAGTGGTTTAAAGATAGCTCGGCTGCATCCTCATACCGTGCTTATACCGGCATTCAGAATGCCGACATTTGTGGATTTGTGTCGTCTCGAAAGCGGTGAAAATAAATGAAACTATGTAATATATTAGTGAGTGCAACTGAAAGCAGCTATGACCAGCTACTTGCCCTGGTTTCTATCGCAAACGCGCCCTACTTTTAGCGAAAAAGATGCATCCCGTTGGTGTACTTTACTCACAAACAGCCAGTTTGCAATGTCTTTATAGCCTTGCGTTAGCTCATCTTACCAGACGGCAGCAACATACATAATGCAGTAGAAAGCCGTGGTACTACCCCACAGCAGCCACACACCTTCTCAAAGAGCCCGACTGTGCAAATGGCGGTGCATTTTCGTTTCCACGGCGGACTGAAAAACCGGATGTTAGAGGAGGAAAAGGCAGACGAAAAAACCCGCAGCACAGACGTCAACGATTTTATACCGTTGGATGTAACAGGGAGATCAATGGCGGCGCTTAATGCCTCATTTGGAAGCAATGGATTGTGTGTTCCATTCACGTGGTCTGGGCTTTGTATTGTTTGCTGTTCAAATACGTCAAATTGAGGTCAATTCACTGCGAATATCGTGATATGCAGCCCTTTTGTCTAGTCGGTATTGACACGGCGTTTAAATGGCCCTGCGCAACTCATTCGCACATTTCCAGCGATCGTGCTTATGCAAGTTAATGGCATGCTCATGGATCAAATTTTCCATTAAAATTCGGATGCTCCGAACCCATTGAGCCTAATCAAATTAGCAATATCTCGAATTGTCGGCAGTTAACGGCAGACGATATGGGCTCAATGTCACCCTATCTGCGGCATGAGCCCATGTCGGTCTGAGCAAGAGCACTGCCGGAGACACTTAGCCCGCTTTATCATTTCCCGAGCGGGCGGCCGGGCGCCCACAGGCCGCGCTCTGGCTCACACGGGCGGCCGGTTCGGCTCTACGTGCAGCCGCGATGCGTGGACGGCCACCGGCGCGGCGCGGCGCTCATTAGTCTGATTGTTTGATTCCTCGGTTGGGTGTCGGTCGCAGCGATTGTATGCTCCGCGTGGCACAGGCCTCTCTCGGCTGCTGGGAGGGGCGGCGCGACATGGCCGCTACCTGTGTTCTTGACTCCATCGTTTCAGCCATATCACAACTGGACGGGCAGACCAAATAAACCGGCAGGTGCAGCATATAACCGCCCATAAAAACGATCGGTGAATTTTTCGTTCGTGGCTTTTTCATGTAGAAGGAGCTTCAGCATGCTGCAAAACGACCGCAGCACTCAAACGGCAGGTGCTCGGCGCAAATGTGACGCTCTCGTGCACAGCATGGTCGCAAATCTCTCTGTGCACTATGCACACACAAAAACAATACAGACACTCAACAGTCGTGGATTATGGCAAGGTGTCATAACAACAACAACAACAAAACGCTTGTTCGACGCTCTTGAGAGATATTATACGAGCCAGTTTGTGCAATCGCGCAACTGGTTTACGATCTCCAAAGTAGTCTGGAGGCCTGCGGGTGCATATGGTCATGATCTTCGACTTTGGGACAATGGTAAAAGCTGGTGACTCAAAAAGGGCCTGAATGCCTGACAGAGAAAGAATCAGGCCTGTTCTAGCTCAAGATCGAATGCCCTACACCGCTCTT